CTGTTCAGCCAAAACTAACTGATAATACTACTTAGTCCATCATATTATATCTATATAAATTCATAAACCACATTTTAATTAATAAAACAAATCAGAAAGCACCTAAATTAGAAATGAACATCAAAAGGTTCTTCAGCTGTAGACATGAAAACTTAAAGGTGGGGTATGTAATTTATTTCAGAAACACTTTTTGTTATATTCCATGGAATGCTCTTAACATCCCGATAGCAATGAATATATTAAATACTTTGACAATAAATACATACAAAATGTCACCTGTGGAAGCCGTAGTATTGTAAAAAACACGACCAATCAAAATAACTGGATGGCCTACCTGCCTGTCAGCCTTCCATCTGTGCACAAACTTATCTCGTGCCCTCATTGGTCATGTGCGCGTTCGTGTGTGTTGGAGGAGGGGCTCTGTAAGGAAGTGGCAGATTTTCTCCGGTTGTGTATTTTCAAATTCTAGCGCACTCGAGCTGGTTTCTCCAAAATTACCTACCCTACCTTTAACAGCCATCTTTTAAAATATATTTGACCTACCAAATATTTTTTCAATTGATCTATCAACAGTTTTAACCTTGGTCCTTTTAGAAAACTAAGTTTATCGTTACTATTTCTATCAATATTGTAATTTCTCAAATGAACTTCTGTGTATTTGCAGAAGTGCACTGACTGAGGACTGTCCTGCATTCATAGTGATGACCTCTAGATGGCAAACTGTTGCTGTATGAGCAGCGAGAATAAAAGCAGATATACATAAAAGCTTTAAGATGCCAAAAACAAAACTAATGTTTGAACTACGCTGAAAAAACTGAACCGTTGACTTTAATTCAATGTATTATGTCAACACATTTCACATAACTCTATTAGGTTAGTTAATGGCAATACTATTAAGTTGAAACTAATATTTTTGTATTTAAACGTAATATTATTGCTTTCAACTAACTTAATACAGTTTTGTGAAATCCGTCGACATAATACATTTCATTCAAATCAACGGTTCCTTTTTTTCAGTGTAGAGAGCTTTTGTTGAAGTGTTTGTCCTTAAAGCCGGCCCAGTGCTCTGCCTGGGACTCTGTGGGAAACAGTCCTGGAAGCCCTGGCTCATCTCTGGAGTCCTCGAACTCTCCAGGTTAGCATGCTCCTTATCTGCAAAATATATATACCGATTCACATCTAATACAAATATTACATTTCGAATTCAAGGCCGGATCTGTAACTACTTAACACAACATGTAGAATACTAATTATCTTCATATATTTAAGAAATACATATTGTCATCTTGAAACAAAAACAATTAAAGTTTTAGAAATTATAATTTGTATTGTTAGATAAACACAAGCGGGCAAAACTATGGCAGTGTTTTCTGCAATCTTTTTTGCAATTTATTTTCCTTATTTAAAAAAATGTTAATTTTAAGAATTGTTTTAGATGTATAGAAATCCAAACGGGATGCTTTACTTACTACATATTATAATGTAACTTAATTCTCCATGTTTTGAAAGGAAAAAAATATGATTGATGTTAATATATATATCATTAGTTGGCGGATAAAATACATCTGGTTCAGGAGTTAATAAGTGCAAAGGGGGGGAAAAATAGCAAATGTTTACAAATGTGATTTAGATAGAAGTACAATTATTAAGATTAATCATTTATTTTGTATCAGTTAGATTTATGGACATACAGTATATTACGCCACTGTCGACATAATGTTTTTCCCACGGATCAAAACCTTTCTAAATGACTGAACCAACACAACGCCCTCTGATTTAATATAATCCTTAAATAGGATCTGCTGCTGTGGGTATGTGCTCTGTTTGTTTAAGATGTCTGTCACTTGATGAGTAAAAGTTAAGCTATGAAAACACAAAGCGAGGATAAGACATCCAGCAACCAATTATTATCTTCTGTGCCTTTACGAGATCAAAGTACAAGAAGTTATTCCGGTTATTTGTGCCTCTCTTTTCAGTTTCGCTGTGCTCAGCGAAAGAAAATGTCAAAATCGATGGGAGAAGGCGGAGATGAGGAGAAGGACATTTCTTCTGCTCTACTACCTGCTGCGATCACCCTTCTACGACAAGTTCTCTGAGTGAGTATGTCTGGATGTCAGGATAGAATCCAGACGATCAAGCATGCAACAGAAAAACAATGTGTTTGGGCACGAGCCAATAGAAAAGCGAGTGTTATGTAGTGATGTCACGATGCCACAGAAGTGAACAAAGGAGTCAAGTGGAGGCGTTTCAGGCAGAGAGAGAAACCTATATAGCGCCCTACAGGAAAGATACAACCCCCCAAAAACATAATAGGGGCTCTGAAAGAAACTATAATGTGTGGAGTGGTGGGTCACTGAACATCCCAGGTGGCATTTAAACACTGGATCCAGCTGGCCGTTTAACCTTTTATTTCACAATCCGGTGATTTGGTGGCAGTTAAAGCACGAGTGACGAATGTGGATGATTTTATCTAAATAAAAGAATATTGCCAGTCTTATCATAAAGGCAAAAAGAACAATTCTAAATAAGGTTGACTATGTCACTTAGATCATGTAATGCATCCACAGGATTCACTGCTCACTTTCCTTCAATGTATGTTCAAATCAAAAGGAATCTAGCAGGTTGATAAACACTAACTCTTAACTTAAACTAAACATTTCATATCAAATAGTAACAAACTATTAGGAATGCCATGTGCCACTCAGTCCTTTGTCCGGCAGTCTCTGGAGGGGGGGGAAGGGGGCGGAGTTTTGTAGGCTTTGGTAGGGGCGTGGTCTACACTTGATTGACACTAGTGATTCAGGTAGAGAGGAGATTTGGGATTTCTAACAGGCTCTTTAAAGATATTCAGTTTACTCTTTTATATGAAATCCTTACATTTTAGAAATTGACACCAGATCTGCTTTGAAAAGATTACAAAAAAAAGATTATACTGCAATACATTTATCAGCCAAAGAATCGATTCATTGTTCCTCTCCTATGTGAAATACACAGTTTTGCAAGAATCACTCTATATATATATATATATATTATATATAATATTTGTAAAATAGCAGGAAATACCAATAGAATTGTTTTTATTTTGTTTGCACCACAAAGTGTTTTAACAGCTGTGTGTTTGTTTAGGGAAAAGATTCTGTTCCTGCTCAGACTTCTGGCTGATAATGTTCCAGGAATAGGCCTAATTGCACGTAAGTACTGTATTCATACCTGAGAGTCTAACATTCATAGCTTGTGAAAACAATAACAAAATATTGTTTGGATAACAACATCCTTATTATCTAAGTTAGCACAGTCTATCCCTCGTGACTGTGTGGTTTGATATGGTTGGATTAACAGTGCTACTTGGCAACATACCTTCATCAAAGTGTTGACAGACTGTTACAAAAGGGAGAATGGTGTGAGAACTGTGAAGTGAAGGGATCAGTGATCATAGATATCACATGTTATGTTAAGCCATCCAAAAGTTGTTGAGATATTTAACAAAAAAAACAAAAGGTCAACTTCTGGGTGGTGCTGGATGAAAAGTCAGTGGGATTTATCCCCTGGGGACCATGAGTATCTGCACCCAAATGAATAATAATCCATCTCTTAGTGTTGGATATATTTCTGTATTGCCCAAAGCGGTGAATCAACGTAACTCTGAGCCATTTTGAAGGACTTAAAAAGACTACAGCTCCCATGAGAGTGACACAGTTGTGGCAGGACCAACACCTGCGTCAGCAACGTTTAGTTTCTTCTTTATCAACCCACCTTTTTATTCATTTGTTTTATTGGCAATATCGGTTTCATTTAGAATGCAGTTAAATTCAGTTTTACTTCAACTCTCTATGACACAACAACAACAACAACAACAGTGTATTTCGTAACGACTGATTACATTTATAAAAATGTTGCCCCTTTTCTTTTAGCAGCACCATTCAGTTTGAATGATATTCCTCTCTTTTATCCCATTCACAGCTCATAACATAAAGGCAAGGAAGTATTCAGATACTTAGCTTCAGTAAAAGTACCACACTGTTAAGAGTACTACAATTACAAGTCCTGCATTGGAAATGTTACTTAAGTTATCGCAAGAAAGTATTCTCAGCAAAATGTAAATTATGAAACGTAAAAGCAACCAATGTAACAAATAAGACAATTAGATCATTCTAAAAGCTAGTTTAATTTATAACAACATATCCTGTTTTATAAACTGTTTTCAGGCAGAAATATTTAATTGTAAAGTATCTAAAGCTGTAGGATACATGTAGTAGATTAAAAAGTACAATATTTATCTTTGAATATGAAAGCATAAAACGTGTGTAATACTTGAGTAAATGTACTCAGTTACTTTACACCACTGCATATTGGTGCTTGTTTTGATGCTGTTTGTGTGTCCAGGGCCTCTGATGGATTACCTCCCCTCCTGGCAGAAGATCTACTTCTACAACTGGGGATAAACCCCCATGGATGTGCTCGGAACTTTATCATTCGCAAGTCGACGAGGGCAACAATGAGAAGGGAGCGGTCCGGCCCAGGGACAGGCGCTTGCTATAATTTCCCCACAAATCAGATGAAATGATGTGGAGATAATTACCACTTTCCCCTGACAGCGAGGACCCTCCTTATTCCTTGAGAAATAAGTCCTACATGTTTTACTACCTTGTTTCTGACTGAACAAAGCACTGGTTTGATGAATGCTTCCAAAGCTAAAGGTTGCCCTGTAAGCCAAATGTTGGAGAACATTCTTTGGGTAGTTGATGATTCACCGGAGTGTGAGTACTGTGAAAACGACATGTGTGACTAAAGGCAGACATCTTTAAAGGAAGCATGTCAAACCCAGCACATACATCTTGATTGACAGTCTCTTGTCGTTGCATTTCCAGTTCTTTAGGAAGAGTTCCTGGCAGGAAAGAGTTGTACGACACTACTAACACATCATGAGAACTTGTAAGACAGCACCAACAGGTATGAGGCTGCGGGTGTGAGGGAGAAAGAGTCCAACATGAGAAGAATCCAGATGTTTAAAATCTTTATTAACATACTGAATACGTATCTTTTTGTAGTCTACAAATAAATAGTTGAATGTTTCATCCTTTCAGTCCACATTTGTTACTTTTTTGGAGTTTTATCACGGGTTGGAACGTACACAAGCATGGCCACGCTAGGGAAAATATGACACAAAGAGCTTTTCAAACTGGTTCCTCGTCTACAGTTCTTTTAATAACTTGTTGAATGTCAAGTCTGCCGGGGGGATGAAGATGTTTAGCTTTGAGGTTAACTGCATTTCAATAAGATGTCAATGGAGGTTATCTGCCAAATAAGGCATGGTTTTGTCTCTACATCCTGAATGTCAAATGCATTTTTATTTTTCATAGGTCCAAAACGGAACAGCTAATGTCGAAGATGTCAGCCTTTCAAAAATAAAGGTTAAAGTGAGAAGAAAGAAATGTCCGAATGTTTCAGAGTTAAAGGTACATTAGGGCAGACTTCAGATTCAACTTGAAACAAGTTCCAGGTCTTAAAATGATATCAGTGTTTCATGACTTTACATCTTATCTACATACTTTAAATTAGACTTATTTGTTGTACCATTACTGATTGGGTTTCATCCCCTCCAATCCCCCTGCACGGCCTCTTAGGTTTGTTAGAACACGATGTATTGTTCACAGGGTATTACAAGTATAGATACTAAATAAACATATAGTCTACTTTCCAGATCATAGAGTCCTTTTGTGGAGTACCCTAAAGAAATGTATAGTAAGGCTCCCACTTAGCATAAGTTGCATTATAGCCTATATGGATCATAGTTCAAAAAGGGCTTGGGGGTTATTGAGGATGCTGAATCCATTTCTGATATTTTCCAAAATGACCAGATAGTGGCCATATTGGTACTCCTGACACATTGGGTCGATTTTGATGAATTCTGTAGTTTTGGAGGACGCTGGAATTTTGTCTTTGACAGACTGCTTATATATATTTGTAAATATTGTCCACAGTTGAGGTAATAATTTTCAGTTCCCTACAGTGAATGGTTGCCACGCAACTCCCGCCTTGGCCAGTCAGTTTGTGCAGAATCCACTAATGAATGCTCATTAACGCAATTTATGCAAATAGTTTAAAATGCCCAACATATGCAAGTTATCTGACAGTTACTAAATGCCGGGGACCCATAATAGACATTTCCGGGTTTCCCAGTGCTGCTAAGTAGACTAATAGCAACCAGGACATCAAATATGGGATGCTCCACTGTTTCACAATATACACTCTCACCCAACAGAAATGCATAATTCCAATCTCTAAACAAACCGTCTAAAATGGTCATTCAGTGCTCCGTTTATGAATAGAAATAACCTGTGGATAAACTGTACTGTAAGTAAATCAAACACTGAATGCACACATTGTGGATTTTTGTTCAAATTAACGCTGACGGTTTAACTTATATACTGCACTTGTGTATTAATATAACAATAAAAGAAAAGACAGAAGAATGAAGTATTCGATAATATAAATCAAAAACAATACTTTGATTTTTGTTTAAGGAATAAAATATAGAAGAGTTAACTCTGACGTCATTTTGAAAACTAAAGACCAAAACACAACAACATTAAATTACAACATATCTCTCAGTTTAGAAAAAACTACACCCTTTGATGGTTTCCTTTAGGAAAATAAAATTCAAGCTAATGAGAATGAGAGAAGAAAATACGGTCTCACTCCTGTAAAAAATGTCTCTAGAAGAGACCGGGAGAGAAGGATGATTTATTATCCCCATGCAATCCTTCCTGCTTCCCGTCTCTCTATCGTCCCATTTACTCCGCCCAAATGCATGTGTCAGTCAGGAGGCGGGGGGGGCTCTTCACAGGCGTCAGTTGGTATGTCTTCCCACAGCTTGGTGCTCATCCCGAATCAGTAGGAGCCGTAACGATCCTGGAGACATTACATGTTTCAGAAAAAGAAGCAGCCATTTGTGTATAAGCTAATGAAGATAGTCAGATATTGAATGATGTTCAAGTCTCATTGTTTGAAGAGTATACTAAAGTCATCACACCGAATGTTAGCCACCTTTAGCTTAGCGTGGTGATGATGTGAAGTCGTGTGACCGTGATGTAGTTTGTTTCTGGCCTAGGTTGTCAATGCACCACTGCAGCAAAACTAGATCAGATATCAGTTTACAAACTCTCACCTGGATGGTATTCATGACACCGTTGGCCAGGACGGCCATCTTGCCTGCGACAGTCTTCACGCCCTGTTTGAACTGAGCGATGTCCGGGCCGGCGGGCAGCACACCGTCGTAGCCCGCTCCCCTCCCTGAGAAGTGGGGGGGAAAGTATGTAAGTCACACTACTTTAAATAAATAACATACATAAAGATTTGTTTTCAGTTCAGCTCATTGTGTAAGGGGAAACAGTTCAAACCTGCAGTAAACACAGTTGTATACAGAATTTATGAGCAGTGCAACACTCAATGTGGATTAATCCGCCGCTCAAAATAGTCCCCAACAAATGCAATAACTCTTGTTTAAGATGCATTTGCTAGAAGCTACAGTGACAAGCTGTTTAAGAAAACTACTGAGATGGAATATACTGCTCACAAATATATTAAGTTGTATGTCTCAGGTAGAAACCAATGACCTTTGGCCTGAGTTCCACAGACATGGACGCTAACATAAATTGCCGTGGTCTCCTCATGGCCTTTTTGTGACACCAAGACAAATAAAAGATAATGCACAATAGGTCATACCTTTATGGTCACTGGCTTCTCCAAACAGGTCAGCTGAACTGATGGAGGTGCTTCCAGACATGGTGTCCAGTCTGGTCTTGGCATCATACTGAGAGAAGAACAAACTCAAATCAACACCTGGGTAATGACAATACATCAATATCTCTCCATACCAGGAGTTATTGCTTTTAACACATAGTTGCCAGGAATTGAATGCATGCTTCAAGTGCGACAAGTTATTATTGAAAACTGAAATTATTTCTCACATCTGCAGTGCTCTCGCGGCCGAAGAACATGTCGGAAGAGATGGCCTTTGCGTTTGCAAACTTATTTCGGGCCTCACTGGACTCTGACACTGGAGCGGACACCTCCGCTTTCCTTCTGCTGGGAAGTCTGGGTTAGACACAAGAACACACATCAGAGCTGTTCCCAGTGGAGGGGACACAAATGTCATTATTATTTCAACAATGACAGTGCATGGATAGATACCTCTCTCCGATTGGCTGAATACTAGAGATGGTGACCTCCTCTTTGGGGTCCTCTTTCTCCAGAGCCCAGGAGGTGGTGAAGGAGGCAGTCCCTCCCTCTGTATCCCACCGCGATCCAAAACTGTCTCCAACTGTAAACGGGTTGTCCTTATATCTGAGAGATCAAACACAATGTATTATTCACCTGGTTGTACTGCAAGTTGACTCGTTGAAACTGAATCGCATTGATATATCTTTCGAGAGCTGTCATACGTACTTTGGGGGTCCCGAGGTGAAGCCCGGCTCATCAAACATGTCCAGTTTGGAGCGAGAGGAGGACTTGGCCCCCACTGGAGTCTCCTGCTCGATCGTCTGCATCTCTGACATCACCGAGTGAGACACAGCGCTGAAACAGGACACACACACACACACACACACACACACACACACACACACTTATTGAATCTTCTGAGATATTAGTCCCAACAAAGAAAAAATAAATGTAACTTAATATATATATAAATATATTTTAATGATCACAATTACTAACTACTCTTATACTCTCATTCATCAGAGCAATTTATTTACCGGTAAAATGTGGGTTTTGTGACAGTTATTTAATTTAATATTGTGATAAAATAAAGATCAATTAAATAAAAAAGAAATGCATGTAAGAATGGGCAAAAAAAAGAAAGAAGATAAGAAGTTAAAATAAATAAGTCCATTCAAATATAAAACAAAGTACAAATCTTTATGTGAAACACATGAAGTAAAAATGTTCACATTGTACCAGTGTATTAGCATTATTAAGATAATATTGCTCTATGGCACAGGGAGCGGCTGCTATAAATTAAATGAAATACAGAATAGCTAAACTATAGCTATGTGAGAAAGTTGAAGCATATATTTAAAAAATAAATGTAAATGTTACTTTCCAGAGAAACAAATTACTTAGATGTTGTAGAAATCTTCATACAGACAAATAACTGGTATCTGTTACTGTTGAATAATTTCCAGTAGCTTGCCTAACCCTGATGATTACACATGATCCGTCAGTTAAGTTGATGCTCCTCATAATCAATGTGATCCTCTGCAGAGAAACAGACAGTCTGTGAAGTTACCTCCTGTTGCCGAAGCCCATGCCCAGCCTCTCCGCCTGCTCCCTCTTTTTGCCCTCCAGTGTGTTCATCTTCTTTTCCTCCATCTTCCGGTCGATCTCCAGCTCTTTGTAGGCCAGACGCATCGAAGCCACGCTGCAAAAGCAAAGACTAGTTACATCATGGCACAGCGACAACGTTTTACCAATCTTTTGTCTGATATTTAGAAAATGGGCCTACATTCTACCGGGATCTTTGTGTGAAAATAGATAAAATAATACTTCTTACATGGACTCCTCTGCACTTTTCTTCACCTCCACAGCCTGCACTTCTCTCATCTTCTCCGCCACTTGCGCCTGCTTCTCCACCTCCGTGAAACTCTTACTGCTCACCTTCTGGGCACCGAGACCTTTCTTGGCACCGAGCTGCATGAGATGGAAAAGTAGTGCACAGATTAGCTCTAGCATCGATTTAAAAAGGGCCCAATTCTACTCATTTTAAGGTTCATTTGTCTTTTGTGTCTCTCCTGGGACATGTCTCCATGCTCTAATGTTCAAAAAGCTCTTTATTTCTCTCATACTGTCTGGGCTGCAGCACCTCTTTTCACCCTCTGTCTGAAACCAGAGCCCAGTCTGCTCCGATTGGTTAGCTGGCCGGCTCTGTTGTGATTGGTCAACGACTTAGAAATGTCCCGTCCCTTAGCCTATCACGTACAATGTGTTGGAGCGCTATCCAATAGAAGTGTGAGTGTTACATAGTGATGTCACTATGTTACGATAGTAAACAAGGGATTGCAAAGGAGGCGTTTCAGGCAGGGGGGGAGAAAGGAAAAACCCCTCTTTAATTGTAACACAATAAATGTTACTCAAGCACCGGGGACACAGCTTGCAGCTCCTAAAACCCAAGGTATGTAGTATGGCAACAATATGACTTACCCCTTTTTTGGCAGCCATGGGCTTCTTTTTCCCAATAATGGAAGGTCTCACATCTGTAACACATTATGCAACATGTCAAAAAAGGCAATATAGTTTTATTTGAAGCCTTAATCTAGTAGTAGGCCAATTGAGAATGACTAAGACAACCTCAAATCCAAGCATGAAAAACACACCATAACAAGTTAATATCGCATAGAAATCACACTGATACAAAAACATAGCTTGGGCTGGTTTGTATTGTTAATTCCCACTCTGCTTACTCTCAGTGGAGGACATGTAAGCAGGAGCACTGCAGCATTATAAACTCGCATTGACACAGGAGTTCAGGAAATTTAGCCGCAAGACGAAAAACGTCAAACCTTCATAACACTCATGTTAGTGCGTCAGTAGAGGAATCTGCAATAGGAGGGAATTCAGTAAAGTCACGCTTTTAGAAAACCATTCATTTAGAGACACCAGACTATTGTCACAAATGCTATATTTAGACTCTTTTCCACCCTTAGAGAGTTATAACACCAACATTTTAGCATGTTTCATATGGAATGCTAGCGGCAAAATACTCCTCCACACAGCAATTACCTGCAGGTATGCAGGTACGTGACAAGGACTGTTCTCTTTCCACACAATGCAGGGCCCTTGGCTTACTGTTTCCGACACACATTTATTTCTTGACAACTTGTTGAGCAGCAGGTGCTCACCAGAATTAGCTTTTTTCCATTGTGTGATCAGCAGAGAGGAGAATGGGAGGGGGCTGGAGGGATGTCAATCAAGCAACAAAACCATGCATCGTAAAGGCATAATCCAGCCGGCATAAACAACAGCTAATCACCTTTAAGTAGCCGTCCTTCCTCTGAGGACAAACGCATGGTGTCCTCTATACGACAGGACAAAGCCCGTCACCAAAACCGTGATCCAAAACACAGAAGAAGTCGAATTTAACAGAGAATGCTATATTAAAACATGTCGGGGTCCAAATTAGACATTTATCAATTGATACGGCTAATGGCATATAAAGGATTGCTTAAATGATGAATCCATGAATGATCTGTGAGTTGGTAGGACATTTTTGATTTGAATCGATATTTAAGGTCTCTTTTCGATTTCTCTTACTTATCCCTTCTGCTGTTTTTAATATTGCTAATTCTCGTTTTATCTTATTCTTTTCATCTTTTGTGAAGCACATGCTATATCATTTCATTTGATGTGTGAATAATCATTTGGGGGAAAAAAATCTGCGGATTCATTGTAATTGATAATAAACTAGAATCCTTTTTGGAGCGACTTAAGAAATAAAAAGAGGGATCCAGTACATGTTCATATATACAAATAAAGAGATCTAGAGACGGAGAGACAGAGTCTCTCAGAGCGAGGAGTGTGTACCCTTCGAACAAGCACGCACATCAAACTTGAGAATGAGAATTTCAGAAGACAGTGCTGGAGTTACGAAAGAGCGGGCCTATGCTCGTGACTTGGCTCACAGACCATGAATCATGTTTAAGTACTCACCGATGGAGGCTTTGGGGGACGAGCTCAGACCTTCGATGCTGGGTCCTTCCTCCGGATCTACAGAAGGAACCAAGGAAAACATTTAAAGCAACAAAAACAACATTCATTTTATTCCACAGCTTGTTTAATGTTTGATTCTTTTTACTTATTCTTATTATTACCATGATGTGTATGTATTTGTATTACCTGTATTTAAGTGATGTCATGCCAGTCAATGCCATTGGTATTTATTGTAGCATTGTGGTTTTTTTATTTTTTGAGTGTCTTTCAATATGGAAAATTAAAGAAAAAAGAAAAAAGACACCCCAGCAGAATCTTCTTAATCCAAAGACTAGAAGGTAAAAGCTGATGTAAAAATGTTATTTTTCTAAAAGGTTCAGTTTAAAGCAGCAGAGGTCGAGTTATCATGAGGTTCAGTCCCTGTATCAGACAAACTCCAGTCATTTTGGAACCTACAATTCCCATAATACACCACTATAATGTCCTTTTATCATAACCTTCCTACCAACTGAACACGTTTAAAAACCCAACATTCCCAACTTGTTTGCAGTCTTTCTGTTGTCTGACCAAATAACCCTGATGACATCACTGACATCATCAGGGTTATATTGTCCGACTTTGGAAAGCTCCCTTCAGAGCCGACAAAGGACGACTGACGTTTATTTGCTAAATAAGCAGAGTGCCTGTTGTGTGTGTAAAACAGACAGTCAACATAAAGGTAATACTTACGGATGTCATCCTGGACTTTGGCCGTTGGGTCCGTCAGCTGCGAGGTGACAGCAGCTCCATTCAGCTCTGGCTCAGAGGGCGGCGCCATGCACCAGTCATTAGCACCCTGCAAACATAAAAAAGAAAATGTTAAGCTATTTATACGTTGAATTAAACACACAAGGATTCAAATGATTTTCAATCAAATAACGCAGTATTACTAAAATACTACTAGGACACAAAAACATTCCTGTTCCACGTAGAGAAAAATACACTGATATGTTGTGGGCTTGTTTTTGTTTTTTAGCAGCATGCCATCATTTTGCAGGAAAACACAAACCTGTGTGTGTTCTGCAAAGAAGTCTGTCTCTTTCTTCTCAGGAGCTGAAGGTGTGCTTGCTGTAGAAGAGTCAATCCATAGCTGCAACAAAGAAGGCCAGACTTTGTTATTATGAGAGAAACACCATTTCATTAACTACGTTTAAACAATGTTTGCAATTCCAAATGTTATCGTTTTGTCTTCCTGTCTGAAATGAAATCATTGCACACCTAGTGGACTCTGCACTGCATCTACTACCACGTCTCAGACAGTGATAACACCTCTTACATAACTGTGTAGATGATACACAGGACAACGGTTCATTACAGATAATAACGATGACGTCAGGTTGTGTAGAGTTTATCAACAAAGACAGAGTCTACTGCTGACTTCCCCAATGGAATTTAATAAATACATGTTATGATTTAGACACAGGACCCATTCCTCAAACAGATTGATACTCACATCTGTGCCATATTTGGACAATGCAGCATTAGCTTGCTGCCGAATCTTCTCACGGTATAACTGGGACGCACGACTGTTATACTTGGCGTTGGTGTCATTTGTGGAGCAGCCATGCTGGCGGAAGAATGCCATCTTCAGAAGAGGAGAAAGGGACTTATTGCATCATATAAATAAACCACAGACAGCTACCAAAATAAAGCTTGCCAATTACCTCACCTAGAACATTAAGGATTAAGTTATTTATTTATATGGCTTCATTCCTAACCTCAAATTGGACTTACCGCGTTGGCATTGCCTCCGACCTGCATACATCTTAGCTGAAACCAGTTCCAGTTGGAGTCTAACTCAGTGGACCTAGGTTAAAAATGGAAACGTCAGCACTTCGGTATGACACATGAATTCTGAGCCTCTAACAATCTGTACTCAAGACAGAACTATTTGCTAGACAATAACAATAATTAGAAGGTGGAATGCTTTTCTTTCACAAAGCTCAACTGCTAACGCAAACTGTCAAAGAAGTATTCAATTCAAAATCAAGTTTTATTTATATAGCACATTTTGAAAACGATTTTTGGTCGAGCCAAAGTGCTGTACATGCAATAAAAACACTTTTCTACAATAGCAAAACAAAAGACAATAAATTACAACAGCAAAAATAAAATAAAACACAGGGAAATGTCAGGAGTCGTGCTCCGCTCTGACTAGAAGGCCAGAGAGAAGAAGTGTGTCTTAAGTGTAGATTTAAAAACCCCTAGGGTCTTGGCCGACCTCACATGGAGGGGTAGAGTGTTCCAGAGCCTAGGGCCAGCTGCTGCGAAGGCTATCGTATTCTCCATGACGATAACTTCTGACAGCTTAGTGATATTGTTGATATTTTCTTAAATGTTGTATGTGAGGGACTACGGATGGAAACTAGCTCAAAGCTAAAATCCGGCATGTTTACATTTTTAAAGCATTATTTGTTTTAAATGTTCATCGATGTGCACTGTCCCTCGTCAAATAAACGATTAAATGAAAAAAAATGAAAAAAAGATTTACACTGAAGCTTACCTGATGAAGCTGAGATGCACTCCCAGGGAGCGGTGGATGCCAGAGCAGTCGATGCATAAAAACACACCGTAGGAGATGCTGGCCCAGCTAGGGTTTTTAGCCGCACAGTCAAAACACACCTGAACGGAAACAACATGTAAGGCAAGGCAAGTTTATTTATATAGCACCTTTCAACACAAGGCCATTCAAAGTGCTTTACAAAAATGAAAGACATTCAGAAAATGGCATTTATAAACAGTCATTAAAAAAAGAAAAAAAAAAAGAAATAAACATTAAAATAAAAGATTCATGAATAAAAGTTACAGTGCAGTTTAAGATGTGAATAGTTCAATTAAAAGCAGCGGCAAAAAGATAAGTCTTCAGCCTGGATTTAAAAGTAGTCAGAGTTGCAGCGGACCTGCAGGTTTCTGGGAGTTTGTTCCAGATATTTGGAGCATAATAACTGAATGCTGCTTTACCATGTTTAGTTCTGATTCTGGGGACAGAAAGCTGACCCGTCCCTGAAGACCTGAGAGTTCTGGATGGTTCATAATTTAGCAGGAGGTCAGAAATGTATTTTGGGCCTAAACCATTCAAAGCTTTATAAACCAGCAGCAGTATTTTGAAATCTATTCTTTGACACACAGGAAGCCAGTGTAAGGACTTCAGAACAGGAGTGATGTGATCCACTTTCTTAGTGTTGGTGAGGAGCCAGTGTAAAGACTTCAGAACAGGAGTGATGTGATCCACTTTCTTAGTGTCAGTGAGGACTCGAGCAGCGGCGTTCTGAATTAGCTGCAGCTTTCTAATAGATTTTTTAGTGAGACCTGTAAAGACACCATTACAGTAGTCCAGTCTACTGAAGATAAAAGCATGGACAAGTTTTTCCAAATCCTGCTGTGACATTAGTCTTTCAATCCTAGATATGTTCTTTAGGTGATAGTAGGCTGATTTAGTAACTGTTTTAATGTGACTGTTGAAACTCAGGTCAGAGTCCATGACTACACCTACATTTCTGGCTTTATCTGTTGTTTTGAACATTGCAGACTGAAGCTCAGCGCTAACTTTTATACGTTCCTCCTTGGCTCCAAAAACATGACCTCAGTTTTATCTTTGTTTAATTGGAGAAAGTTCTGACACATCCAGTCATTGATTTGTTCAATGCACTTACTCAGTGTTTGAATTGGAGCATAGTCTCCTGGTGAAATGGTTATGTACACGTGTGACTGGAACACATCAGTTATTTAAATGCAAGAAATTACTGTTGAAAAACCTCTTTTTCAATTATTTTACCTAAAAATGGCAGGTTTGATATGGGCCTGTAATTGTTCATTACTGAAGCATCTAGATTGTTCTTTTTTAAGAGCGGTTTAATGACTGCAGTTTTCAGGGCCTGTGGAAAAACACCTGAGTGAAAATACTTGTTTACTATATGAAGTAGATCTGAGGCCATGCAATGAAAAACATTTTTGAAAAATCCTGTTGGTATAATATCAAGGCACATTTGTACATTTTATTTATTAATATTACTTGCTCCCAGCATCTGAATGTTCATTACAGTGAGCAGTTTTTTTTACCATCCATGTTTACATACCTATGACTTTACATTGTGGTATTTTAATAATACTTAGTGTTGCTAATCGTTTAGTTTATTGTGGTTACAGTAAAGGTGGGGTGATGATATATCACTTGCATCTTCATGTAGTTAATATACCAACCCACCTTTAACAGGTTCTGAAGGGATTACTTTGTAACCCATACAACATACTATCCTTTAGTTTAATTCAAACATTACAAAATTGAGTTAGAATAATGCAAAGGAGTAAGGTGTTATAATATATAGGTATGAGGTAGCGTGAAATAAACATTTTAAATAAGTAAGTACCTACACATTGTACTGCTGCATTAAGTGTAGCTAGGTAGACGGCAGCACTGCATTTAACAAACACGTTTTGATACAAAAATATACCACGCAATGTATAGTATTTGAATATTAAACTGAGCATATGGATCTGACTCCCAAGCTTATCAAGTGTCATGAAGTTCCTGTACAACTGACACTGTTAGCTTTAGCATTGGATAGCATATGGTTTAATACCGTCAAGCCTTACGACTTAAAATGTAGAAGGTTCATATTATTACTAAACTGTGTGCCGTAATTTGGACATATCTAGAATTCGGTCTAACCTGTTAATTCATTATTTATTTATTTACTTAAACTAAGTGTGGCTTAGTGATTATCTTCACTCCTCAACACACAGATCGTATACGTGGCCTTTATGTTTGACTCTTCACCGACAGCAGCGGTTAGCTCCTGTTAGCTGGGTGACAGAAAACTACAGCAAGCCAGCTCACAGCCTCTGACTAAAACACTGCCAACACAAGCAAGACATACACAAGTATACACGCACAACTGCGGAGTCTTTTAAGTTTACCTTGTTTGTAGGAATAGATCTTAATCTTTTGAAAATGGTAAGGATCTCAGTCTTATTTGGTTCAGTAGCCATCTTGCCACTCTGACAATTTGCATTAGCTGACGTAACTACGGATCCCCGTTGGTTCCATATCTAACAAAAGCGAAAGTTGAATCGTGTATACGGCGGCCATACAACGTATAATGTAAGTTCAAACTTGATACGTGGTGTTTAGCCCACTAATTATCTGTCACGACAATAAACATTTGTTATTCAATTATCACTATTATACATTCATATATTATTAAATGCTAGAACACTCATTGTCTAGCCCTGCTCAACCAATCACTCAATCACTACTCAACCAATCAGCCTTATGAAGTTAATAGGATCAAATGGCAAGATTACCAGAGTTAGTTCAATTAGGCTATAGAGAAAAAACAGTCATCATGAAACAATCATCTATATTTTCTGGACTTGTTATGTAAATCTTAGCATATCTAAAAATGCTGCAACCCATTGCAAACTCTGAACAGCTTAAAGGGCATAATTGTTGTCAGTCCAGTCCATTTTATTGTTAATGTGATCTCCAAGGAATTTCAGGTGAACGAGATGGCAGTCGCCTGACAATAGTGACTTTATTAGAAGTTGAACTGTTGGTGCCTCCTTCTGTAGCGCGTTAAATTGAAGTTAAGGCATAATCTTTGTTTCCAATTTCTTTCTGTACTTACAGTAATGTGTGTTCGCTACAATAATTGACATGTCTGTTAAACAGCACCACGTTGAAGTTAGACGGAAGCCGCCCTCCCGCCTGATGGAGCTTCTGGAAGAGTCTGCAGCGTAGTTGATTAAAGAGAACCAGGTAAATGTTCTGCTTGATTTGTGTTAAAATGTGTCTGCTGTTCTGTCTGTATATGAATATCTCTATTCTCTAAAGGTAAGTACATCTTGCCATTATGTGAAAAACCTCTTCAGTCTCCAGTTGTTTTTAAGTTAACATTTAGATAAAGTACATTGGAATTACATTTTACTGTATAATATGTATTTATATTTTCTAAATTACTCAATTTCAATGTTTAATATTCTGATTAAAATTTGGTTTTTCAGGAGAATTGATAGTTTGAGCCTGGAGAACCCAATTATTTAATCAGGTTTACTTCCTGTTGGGAACAAAGCAAACATTACTAAGCTTCCTTACTTGTAGTCATACTTTGACCGTAACAAATAAGAGTTAATATAATTAATAGTAATAATAGTATAGTATAGTAATAGTATAGTATCCTGAGCTTGCACAATTTTTATATATATTTTGTATTTCTTTTATGTCCTATATATATTTATGTTGCATTGTCTGGGACTGAAGTTTTTCATTGCATATCCACTGTAGTTAATGCATATGCATTAATGCACCTTTTGAAGCTCACCCCATCCATCTCTGCTTAAAAAGAACATGTACAATCAATGGCTACTTAAATACTAAATTAAATAGCTAACTCTAAGTAACTTCAAAGAAAAGTCTATGTATTGTATGTTAACACTGATTTACATGTTTTGACAGAATGGAGGCAAAGAAATCGTCAAAAAAGGACTATGCTGAGTGTCGTGAAGTTCCATGTCCCCCATGAAGTGCAGCAAAAGAAGACGCCACACCTACCAACGTGTCCATCTCCACCGAGGGATCGGCGGGGCTTGATGAGTGTAAATGTTTGGTGAACGCCTGCCTTCTGCTCACGGGCATCATCCATGCCACATCAAAGTTGAAATACGCTTCTGTAGTTTTTCAAAAATCTTTCTTGAACTTAATTTCCTCAAGATTTCTCTTGAAAGTCCAACTTTTTGCATAAGCAGTGGTGGAAATTTGAGGTACTTGCTCTTCACTTGAGAATTTTCTTTTCATTGCACTTTATACTCCAGTACAAATCAAAGGAAAATATTGTACTTCACTAGATCTTTTATGGAGTTTATAAAGTATACGCTTCTGTTTTTTTTAATTTACAAACAATTGTAAATATTGTTAGTAATCCTTATTAATTTTGAGCTTTTACGCATTTCTTTTGATTAATTTTTGATTTTTTACTATAGGGTACGTGTAATACTCAAACAGCATTTAGCTAATGTAACATTTTCATTACCAGACTTTCACTTGTCATAGAGTATTCTTACAGTGTGGTATGAATATTTTTACTTAAGTAAAGGGCCGGATCCTTCTTCGACCTGAGGGACAGTATATCAATGTGTTTCTGTGCCTGCTTTGTTAAGTTTAACTGATGTATGCGCAGTATATGTTAAAATCAATGTAAACTGTAGATTCATCATGGCATGTATCAGACAACAGAACAAAAATAAATGTGTTGTTTAAAAGTGTCTACTGTAATTGCATTTTATGTTACACGTAGAATACATTATATTAAAATATTACCTACATATTAATTAAATAAAAGGTAAGAATAGCAAGTAAAAAAAACCTGAAAAGCCAAATATTGTTTTCTGGAGATTTTCTAATAAGATGCAAATGTAATCTTAAATCAAATCTACTATGCAATAGTAAGTACAATGTTAATGGCTTTGCTTGGGGAAGATAGGTGTGAAGGGAGGCAATGATGCTGTCGTGTATATACAGACCCAGGCTGCTCTGTTATCACATATGGATTGGATCGTCAAACCTGTCAAACAGGTTGGTTTTTACATTCCAGATTCTTTCAGGGAAAAGGTTGTAGCCCATTATCTTTCTAACAACCCACGCACCTCACTTGAGCTGTTGCCTCAAGGGTAGCTTCCAGTCTATCTTTGTAACTGTCCTTAGCTGCCCCAGCTCTTTCTTCAGCTCCTTCTGAACCACCTTATTCTCCCTTAATGTCCTGTGCCATGAAAACCCTCTTCTTCCTAATGCCCTCATTGATTCAGGGTTTATTGTTGGAAAGCAGCATACCTTTTTAGTGGGTACGATGAACCTGATGTAGTCCAATATGTACAGCCAGGGAGAGTCCGTCTTTTGTTTACTTAGTTGTGTTCTCTGTATTTTATATGTCTGTGTTATGTGTAGAACGTGTAACGTTGCTGCCTTCTTGGCCAGGTCAGCATTGTAAATGATATTTGATCTCAATGTTTGTATCTGGTTAAATAAAGGTTACAAAAATAAATAAAATAAAATAAAAAGTATGTCCTCACGTGGACCCTCTAAAACCATTCCCTCCTCTGCAACTTGAAATGACCACAATTGAACAGTTTTCATAATGCCGGGCTGCGTTCTCACAAAAGGCTTGTATGGCTAGCTTTTGTGGTTTGATTGGGGTCAGGTTTTGTTATTTATTAATGGGGTCTATGGTCTAAATGAGGTCTTTGGCTGTTGTTCGATCATGTTTGAAGACATTTGGGTACAAATATTTGTTAAAAATCATAATAACGAAAAATGGTGTGTTCCTGTAGCAACCCCTTTGCCATAAAGCTGATTGAGAAACGTTTTAGGGTCTTTAGGAGAAATCCCCAAAATGTATGTACACATTTTTATTAACAATTCAAACATGTTTGTGCTCTCTTTACCAATCATGGGTAGAATGGAACGTCTCATATTATGCAAAACTCATGTATTAATGGATTTTAAACATAAATATGTATTCCTGATTAACAGATTTATCTAGTTTACAGTCATCATCGTTGCCAGATAAAAGAACAGATTCTAAAATATTGAAAGGCCATGAAACACAACATCTGAAACAGGTTCAGCTCATTTGTAGCTGTTATACCTCTTGTAGCAATAATCAATATACATAAGGACATAGCTCATGTATTTAAATATACACAAAGGTGACTTTTTCTTGAGAACAAGTCATTTGGTTGTAGTCCTTACTTTAATGCAGCTCAATGTAATTCCAATCAGGAAAATACTTGTATGCTTTATTCTCTCTGAATTCTCTCCCATTCGGGCTGCTTGTAATCAATTGATCATGGGGGTCCACTTTTTTTGAACAAACCAGATTTTGCTACGATCAGGCGTCTCGCTGCTGTTGGTCCAGCCAGGACCGGCTCTAGACAATTTGCAGCCCCAGGCGAGATTTTAGCTGGCAATAATAATCAAATAAGTATGTGAACATAACCAATAACCTACCATAGCCAATAACAAATACATGTAACTTATTTTATTTTTGTTGTTCATTCATATCTTATTTGACCTAGTTAACATTCATTTATGTATTCATATTTTTTTATCTCTCCAGTTTTAAACGATATTTTTGGTTTACTGTCCTATAGTATACATTGAAAACACCAACCCCCCCACCCTACACACAAATACAAAAACCACACTTGCTTTAGTTAGTTGGCAGGTATGGGGTGTGTGTGTGTGTGTGTGTGTGTGTGTGTGTGTGTGTGTGTGTGTGTGTGTGTGTGTGTGTGTGTGTGTGTGTGTGTGTGTGTGTGTGTGTGTGTGTGTGTGTGTGTGTGTGTGTGTGTGTGTGTGTGTGTGTGTGTGTCTGTGTGTGTGTGTGTGTGCATACATGCGTGCATGACAAACTGAATAACATGGTGGTACTCAAGTTCAATTCTGTTTATGCAAGAGTGACTGGGTAAGTGTGTGTATGAGTGTGTCTTGCCACATGTTTGAAGGGTTGTGTGAGCCATTATTCATGCTGAGCCTCTCACATATATCTCCCTCCCTGCTGCCCCATCCTGCACATGGTAGCTCTATAGCAGCACTTCTGTTAGGTAATTTACCTGACTATACAAAACATTCAAAATACACTATGAAGTACAAACTATAATGCTGAATATTAACAATAATTAAGTTAAACTGTGGTGTGCTTTGTAGTTAAGTTGGTTTGTATGACTTTATTCACAAACATTTGCTTAATCTGCTGAAGCCTTAAAGAGACCCTAACGGTGCCTACACACGGCGGCGTGCGTTGAAGCATGCCGGCGGGCTTGTCTGAAGCTCGACCAACAACCAATCACATGAATCTCCCACCCCGGACACACAAGCACGCGGTTTGATTGGCTAGTGCTTGTACTGGCATACGATTCGATTGGCTGACGCTTCCGTCGAAGCTTCAAAAGTAGAACATTGCTCAACTTTTGAAGCGAGCAACGCGTAACACTGCATTGCAGTTCGGCAAA